CCCACCCCACCCCAACCTCACCCCCTAATCTGGAATTTAACCTGTATTATTTTCACCATGAACTGCTTAAATTAGTAGGTTCACAACGTTCTGTGTCAGAATGGCTATCATTTCCTCCTTTGAATACAGAAAGGGCATAAAGAGGGATTTGGGTAGCATCAATCTTCATCAGTCCCAAAAATGTCTGAAAAATGCAAATACCCCTTGAGATACACAGCAAAATGTTCAGCGACATACACCTGAGACAAGATACATAGTATAACTTGTGTCACAATTCACCAATTTCTCCCCAATAGCCAGATGTTTTGAAGATCTGACTGGAAAACCTATCCAATGAAGTCATAAAGTTTACCTCAAACTCTAATTAACAAGCCACACTGATTAACTGTTGTACAAACTGTCCCTGCTGAGACAAACAAACTCAAGTAGCAGGAGCTTCATCTAACCAACACAGATCATGTCAACAGCTGAGTTAGTTGTCTAGGCTCCTCTATAATCAATAAAGAGAAATAGGCTCTTCAAGGTGCAATTTCTCTTCTCTTAAATTGGCTGTCTAGAACCAGTGACCCAAATTGTGCTCAAAAATACACATTTTCTTCATCACTGGTGATAAAGGGAGGCCATAGTAGCTGTCTAAGACATAGATGTCTAAAAGTTTGGTGACATGAATCCTACTACCTAGTTTACTAAGACCTTGGAGAGATGTTTTCTTCATAATTCACAAACATGATGAAATTAATTTCTCAGCAAGGACCTGTGCAGCTTAGGTTGGCTGTTAGTTGTTCTTATGGTATTTCTATAATGGCAGTGCCTGTACGCAAGAACAAGTGAGAGAGACAAGTGTTGAAGCCAATCGCATCTTGTGGGTTTTTTTTTGCATTTATAGAAAAGGAAAGAACCAGGACTCATCCATATAGTGAATGCTTTACAACTTGCTGTCTGATTAGTAGGCAAGTCAGATCTTGAGGGCTGCATAAAGGTTTTCCGTAAGAGGAGAAAAGACACATCCCAATGGGGTCAATATAAACCATTCGGCTATGATATTTTGAAGTGTGCTTGGAAACGCTATGTGCTCTGTGTGGAGATGTTCATGTCCCCTGGGAAGAATTGTTTCTCAAATTCAGTCCTTTGTAACAAAACCCTATTAAGTAACCATTTTGGTCACTACTTTTATAGTGCTGCCTTTTTTTTTTTTTTAATTCTTTTTTTTTTTTTTTTTCCCATTTGTAACTAAGGTACTCTCTTGGAAAGCTATTACATTGTACAAGAATATATGAAGTAGGAAGTTGCATACTTTTCCAACTCCTACCATTAGAGTAAGTTAAGATAAAAATTGACTGTCTCAGAAATGATATTGGTGAAAAAATCTTGTTTCCAAAATGCAGTAATGTGAATGGTAATATGATATACGGTACTAACCTAAAGGAGGTATGAGTGTTGACAAAAGAACAAGGTGAAGTCTTGTGCCTTACTAAGAACACAGTGACAGAGAGAAAAACAACTTATTTTAGTCTCGTTTTTGATGAGGCAGAGCAGCATAAAGCAGTTTCAAAAACCTTATTCTCTCTGGGAGAAGATTCCGCCACTCAAAGAAATGCAGATGTTATCAGTACTGATACTCCCTGGGAGTTTCCTGATGAGCCTCTCCAGAGGATTTTAAGCCTTTGCCTGCACATCCTGAGCACAGAATTTCACCCTAAAACTGGATTTTTTTTCTTCCTCTTAGGGAACTTCAAAGAAATATGCTAATATAATTCCCGAGCACTTTTGACTTTCCATTCTTCATCTACACGGTATCTGTAGAGTCTAAGCTTTTTCAGCCCAAGGCCTGATGTCATATCTTTCTGTAGAGAGCCTGGCAAACATGTGAACCTATGCCACAAAACACAGCCCATGTGAAATTATACCTTCTCCTGTGGTGCAGGAAGACCATTGAGACTTTGCTGTAAAAAGTTGTCTTTACGCACAGAAGCAAGTATTTTATCTAAATGAAAATTATTTCAATATTAACAAAAAATAACATTTGTATAAAAACTGAATTTATACATGAACATGAGGAGAGCTAGTCCTATCATATCACAGTCCATGGTATGGGCTAAACTGCTTGTCTCTCTGTTTGCCACAAAGACAGGATATTTAAGTTTTATCTTGGTTTATATGATTTTAATCAATAAAAGGTGTTCCACACTCATATTCTTGACTTCTATCTCAGTATGATCTTTTCATTTAAAATTTCTCTTGCAAATTTCTGATCTTTTTAGAAATTTATTAAAGAGACAGGGAAAGGAAATCTTATAGGAGCAGATCCACAAAGAACTTTTCTGTAGTTACTCACTCTGCATTCCCTTAAAGTATAACACAACAGATACTTTTTTCTGATTTCAAAATTATGCATGTAAATCCGTTTAAAAAGAAATACATCCAGAAAATACTTACCAATTTTTGGAATTAGATTATTCTGAAGATAAAGTATTTTTAAATCTCGACACCATTTGTCAATATACTCTAGCTTTT